ACAGTGCAGTTTATCTTCAAGCTAAAAATTGTTAGCTTACTTTAGAATTACAGAAAATGAAATGCATCTGCGTGAAGATGAAGACGATGGCACACACGTCGAGAGCAGTCGACCAACGAGAGCAGTTCGCGTCGGAGCTACATAGGAACACGAGAAATGCGTAATACACCACGCCGGTTACTCCAAACACTGCAATTGAATAGTAGATAACTTTTGGAAGGGAATGCTTGCTACGTGACTTCACAAACCAACACATCCCAATCGGAGGAACAGACTGCCAGCTGAGGATCCGGAATGCGTTACCTTCCTTACGGTGGCAACAGCAGAGGAAACTGAAGATTCGTTCGGTTGCGATCGACTCATACACTTCTGAAACCAGGCCTCTGTCAGAAACGGCCTAAGCATATAAGAGAATGGCAGCGGTCCATAATACTAGTCATTATGAAAATCATGACGTTTCAAAGTATGACAAGAAGAATATATCTCGAAATCGCCTGAGAGATCGGTAGGCGTGGCTAGCGTACTTAAGGGGCGGCCCGGGTTCTACTGACTAGGGAAGGTCGTCAGGTCGAAGCGGTCACTCGTAATGAGATGTAGCTCACTAGACGTGGTTTTGGACGCTGATCTCGAATCTGCCTTCGAAATTTGCAGAACGATTCTTCTGAACGGAATTATGAAGGTTTGTTAGAATTAAAATGAAGGAAAACAGAGTCGAGCGCGCTTGCCACCTAATCGCGCGTGAACAGCCGGGAGGCACCATTACGTGCAACCGGCGGCATGGTAGTGGTAATAGTCTTGCTTCACGGGCATGCTATGAAGGGTTCGGATTTCTAGGAAAGGTTTCGTTTTGCATTTTGTGGGGAATGTCTCTTTTAAGTCTAGAAAACACTCGAACGCCAAATGGGTGCCATATTCGTGTTCAGGGAGCAAAACAACCCTTGGGTTCTAGCCAGATGTGAGGTTTTGACCTAACTTTTGAAAAGTGCTGTTGCATTGCAGTTGATCGAATGATGGTCACCAATAGTTCCAGGGCCAGTCTCTTGTCGATTGCTTGTCTTTGGACAGAATTTGCTTTTAGATACCAGGAAAACTGGAGCAGTAATAAAATGAATGCGTAAGAAGAGGGAGACGAGGCTTCGTGCAGGAGAATGTATCTGCAGCTGAATAGGTGTTAACATCAATTGAACTAACCCATGGATGCTTCACTTGTCGAAGTCAGGTCAAAATGCCAGATTTGGCTAGAAACCTCTACCTAGGCGTAGTTCGCCCCATAAATACGAATATGGCACTCGCTCAGCGCGAAAACGCCTGCACTCCGCGCCAAGGGCACTGTAATCCAGAATCTCTCTGGATCAGGCAAGGCACTAAGCGCAGTAAGCGAAGCAAACTGCTTCAGGTAAGTCAATGAGAGCGCTAATGTAATAGTCATGCCACAAACACTTTTTGCCACGTTTGCAGATGCAAAAAAGTTGGAAGAGCAGAAAAGAAGGTTAGACCTCAGCAGGGCTTCCGATCCAGTGACTAGTTGCGTGTAAAAGTGGGTGGGAAAAAGCCCATATACTCGGTTCAGAGCTCCATAACTCCGTTCAGAGAATCGCTTCTGCAAATTTCGAAGGCAGATTCGAGATCAGCGTCCAAAACCACGTCTAGTGAGCTACATCTCATTACAAATGGCCACTTCGACCTGACGACCTTCCCTAGTGAGATCTTTTGAAACAGTCGTAATCATGTCTACATCTAACACAGAACAAGATGGCAGTTGTTTCAAATTGAAGTATCCCACGAGTAACCCGTCCTATGCCATGCTCAAAAGCCACGCCTACTCCGTCTCAGGGATAAGGAGCTGCGGAACACAAACTTAGAAGAAGCCACTAAATCGCGTTTGAAACACTCTGAAGCTGTTATTCAACAGCATTACAGTGGAAAGGTGAGCAGATAGCGGGAATTCAACAAGAAAAACTATTCAGCGCTCTGAATTTGGTTTGCTTACTGTGGACTTGATTAGAGCCTTCATCATCCGTGGAATCGACTCCAGTGGAGCTTCAGGGGTAACGACCAATATTCAACTCTAAATTCACTAAAATGCATGACTCGTGTTGGCTCACTCATGTTGATGGTCTTCTTAGCTTTGACTCACGCATCAAGTCATCTCAAAGATGCTTGATGGGGTTGAGGGGAAGGCCTCCACTCGGTCATTTCATCATCCTGATGCTCCTTGCAAGCCAGAACCTAGATTGCGCGTACTTTTGTGTTCGCTTAGAATCATTTTTACTGTTTGAAAACAGTTCTTCCAGACATACTTTATCTATATCCACGATATTTCGGTACACAGGTCAAGGAAAATCAAAAAAAATCTGATAGAAGATTCCTATTTTTCTGATTGTTCCAAGTTTTTTTTTCGTGCCAGTGGTTGAGCTGGTTATAGCTTTTTGAAAGGTGGGTATGAAAGAGGCATGGAAGGCGAAACGGAGATAGGGGCCTGTGAAACGGAGCAAGTGGCCTACCGACCAAGTGGCCTACCGACCAGTCGTGCATTCCGAAGGCACTGTTAATAGGCTGTCACCCACTCCCCCAAACCTACCTTCTTCCAGGTAAAGTAATTTGATAGCAGATTCGTCTGGTAGGTTCATCAAGGTTCGGTGCTCTCCTCTTGCTCTTTATCCTCATCATGGCTCCGAGTCACAGAGCGATGTTCCATGGGTTCCGCTCTATGCTAACGATGTTCTTGTGGAAGTTAGTAGCGAGGAACTGCAGCGTCAGCTTTAGGCATGAAACGACCGTGTAAACCAACATGGCCTTCACGTCAACACCAGAAAGGGGAATACGTTGAAACCGACTCCTGCGACGGCACGATCCAAAGGCAAGGATTTCGCTAAAAACGATGTCCCCCCCCCCCTCCCAGATAACCAGGGTCCCGCCTACAAAGCAGAGGTAAGTGTTGACGATGAAATACGAATGAGAAACAACGCGGCGATGCGATGGAGAGAGATCTAGCGTGCTATGTAACAGGTTCATGCACCTTTGCCTGAAGTTAAAGATCCACCGGAGCTCGTCCCGTGATATTTACGGACCTAAATGCTGGCCACTACCGAAAGTGCCGAAGGCCACTTTCACGTTATGCGGATGTTTCGATGAACATTTCGCAACTCGATAGCATCTGTAAGGCAGCGTACATACTTCCCGAGAGCAGCGACGATCGCCGGATGCAACTGAGCGTGCCCCAACGCTATCACTTGACTCACTTAACCAAATAGAGAACTTCAATTTGTGTGGCTTTTTTCCTTACAGTGGCCACTAACTGGAAACTCACAAGTTTTTGTTTACAAGATGGTCTGGCATATGAGAAGGGGAGTTTTATTTTTTCAAGCTCGGGTTAAGGGCAGACTCATTTTCTAGGTGAGCTTCCTCTTGCAAAAAGTTCTATAGGCCCTGCCAGCTCAGGACTGATGCAATGATTACCTTGAAGAGGTTGATTGTCCAATACCATCGAGGATCCAGCAACAGCACCACATACATATACACGAAGAACAGTATTGAAACACCATACATATACATCCCAAAAATCTGAAATCGACTGAAAACACAAGCCAAAAGGCTTGGGCAAGTTCTGATATCGAGCTGCAACCAACCAAATCCTCCGTATTGATTTCTCTCTGTTCTTCGCCAGAAAGCAGATGAGAAAGTTCAAGAACTAGTGCGAAAATTGTGAGGAATAAACTGTAGAATGCTGTGAGTGCCGTGAACATTCCCACTCTGAAAGCGAATTCAATGAGCTGTCTCATCAGGCAACAAGTAACGAAGGGTTCGGTAAAAAGTCTGAAAACATTGCAGTTGGACAGAAAAACACGAACAGATTAACTGCCTAAGCAATACTTCTAACTTCGTTTAGCCTGAAGGTAATCCAATGAGTGGAGACCGGCTAACCCTTTCCACGTTCCGTGCGATCAAACAACGCTCATGCCCACAAATATTCTCTTCCGCAGCACACGGTCGCTTGGGGAGTTTAATTGAAATAGAATACTGGGCATTGACAGCTTCTTAAAGAAACGGCCCGCGATGACCTATGAAAATGTGAA